CACAGGGTCACTATGAGTCGCAAACAACTCAATGGCACATAACAACAACAACTCTATATGTACTCTAAGAGGCAAGAATTTTGAACTCTGTATGTTTGTTCTCTATGTGTTGTCTCTGTTCGACATCAATGAGTGAGATCCACCAAACATTATTATGTCTATATCTTAACCTCCTGCTGACCACCTACTTTGGTGTCTGCTGCTCAGACATTCCAAACAAGCAATTCTTTATGCAGATTAGAAATCCTGACTCTTGCCTTCTTTGTTTTATAAGCCATAAAACTTGAACAAAAAGGCTCAGTGACTTCTTTAGAAAACTAGAAATTAAAATCTTAGTTTAATTCAAAATGGAATTGTTGTGTTGTCCTCTCATTGTTGTCGTGTGTCCTCTCATCAAAACAGACTCTGCACTAACCTTCGAACAGATTTTCAGGGGCAGTTAAGTCACACAGAAGACTGTCCGTTTTTTTTTCCCCAGGGAAGCAGCTATCAGATTTAAAACTCCTCACCTTTGAGTTGTCAGCACAGTTCCTTACTACTGGCCACAAGAGCCCTAATTAAAGTCTTAAGTCACCGAATTCAAATATGCCAGTACATTATATTTTTAAGATTCATACACAAAGGATCCAGTTGAACGATTTTAAACATAAGATGATAGGACCTGTGTTTTAGATTATTTACACTGATGTTGTTGTTGTTAGGTGCCATCGAGTCGTTTGCGACTCATAGTAACCCTATGTACAACAGCCCTAAACCCTGCTCTATCCTGTGACAATCGCACTGCCTCTGACACACCCATCCCCAGACTGATTACCCCAGTCTCTGAATCAATCCAGTCTCTGAATCAATCCATCTCATAGAGGGTCTTCCCCTTCTGTGCCCCTTCTTCCCCTCCACCCTCCCAAACATTATGTCCCTCTCTAAGGACCTCTCCCTCCTTATATGTCCAAAGTATGTCAGATGAAGCCTCAGAATCCTTGCCTCCAAGGAGCAGCCTGGTTTTAACCCTTTCCAGGATAAATCTGTTTGTTTTCTTGGCTGTCCATGGTACATTCAATACTCTTCTCCAGCACCACAGCTCAAAGGCATCAATTCTCCTTCTTTCCTCCCTAGTCATTGTCCAACCCTCTGATGCATAACAAGTGATTGCAAAGACCAT